TATCGTATAGCCCCAATATAACGGTAACTCTTCGATATTAGGTATTTTGTGAGTACTTTCCCCCAGACATAGATTAGTATATCGTATATCCCCCATATATCGGCACCTTCCGATATTAGGTATTTTAAAGATTGTCTGGCTTTATCCCTTTATTGTTGTTTTTATAAAAACAACGTTTGTTTATTAGTGGAGAACGATGGTAATGTTTACCAGGGGGTAAGGCAGGGAATACCTAGGTTTCGGAAAGAGCCACCAATCCTCATCAGTTCCCTTGTTTTTGTCTGGGATATTCTCCCCAGAAGTTATTTTAAAAATAACTTCTATGACAAAAAACATTTTTTTTTTTTTTTTACCCAAGTGACGAGATCGTAAGCTCAATAGAAGAGGAACCAAAGAATTAAATAAAACTAAAATTCTCTTGGAAAGTCTTCTAAATCTTACAACCGCACTTATAAACATTTACATCTTTCTCCACTTGTTATGCTTTCGTTCAGCCTGAACGAAGTAGCATAACCATGTAAGTTGGTTTTGTCTGTTACAACAAAAACCCCTTCGTCGACCGTGCCTTGTCTATTAATAGAACAGTGTGGCTTGTTTGTTCGGGATATCGTAGTATTTTGTTGTTGCAAAATGGTCTGGCTTTATCCCTTTATTGTTGTTTTTATAAAAACAACGTTTGTTTATTAGTGGAGAACGATGGTAATGTTTACCAGGGGGTAAGGCAGGGAATACCTAGGTTTCGGAAAGAGCCACCAATCCTCATCAGTTCCCTTGTTTTTGTCTGGGATATTCTCCCCAGAAGTTATTTTAAAAATAACTTCTATGACAAAAAACATTTTTTTTTTTTTTACCCAAGTGACGAGATCGTAAGCTCAATAGAAGAGGAACCAAAGAATTAAATAAAACTAAAATTCTCTTGGAAAGTCTTCTAAATCTTACAACCGCACTTATAAACATTTACATCTTTCTCCACTTGTTATGCTTTCGTTCAGCCTGAACGAAGTAGCATAACCATGTAAGTTGGTTTTGTCTGTTACAACAAAAACCCCTTCGTCGACCGTGCCTTGTCTATTAATAGAACAGTGTGGCTTGTTTGTTCGGGATATCGTAGTATTTTGTTGTTGCAAAATGGTCTGGCTTTATCCCTTTATTGTTGTTTTTATAAAAACAACGTTTGTTTATTAGTGGAGAACGATGGTAATGTTTACCAGGGGGTAAGGCAGGGAATACCTAGGTTTCGGAAAGAGCCACCAATCCTCATCAGTTCCCTTGTTTTTGTCTGGGATATTCTCCCCAGAAGTTATTTTAAAAATAACTTCTATGACAAAAAACATTTTTTTTTTACCCAAGTGACGAGATCGTAAGCTCAATAGAAGAGGAACCAAAGAATTAAATAAAACTAAAATTCTCTTGGAAAGTCTTCTAAATCTTACAACCGCACTTATAAACATTTACATCTTTCTCCACTTGTTATGCTTTCGTTCAGCCTGAACGAAGTAGCATAACCATGTAAGTTGGTTTTGTCTGTTACAACAAAAACCCCTTCGTCGACCGTGCTTTGTCTATTAATAAATAATAATAAAATGTTTTTTGTCATAGAAGTTATTTTTAAAATAACTTCTGGGGAGAATATCCCAGACAAAAACAAGGGAACTGATGAGGATTGGTGGCTCTTTCCGAAACCTAGGTATTCCCTGCCTTACCCCCTGGTAAACATTACCATCGTTCTCCACTAATAAACAAACGTTGTTTTTATAAAAACAACAATAAAGGGATAAAGCCAGACCATTTTGCAACAACAAAATACTACGATATCCCGAACAAACAAGCCACACTGTTCTATTTTAAAGATTTTAACTAAATGTTTAATGGATTTTATTTTTTTTTTTTTGAAAATTTTCTAATTCTTTTCAAATGGTGGAGGGTATTCAAAGTTCGGCCCGGCCGAACTTACTGCTTTTTTACTTGTTGAAATTTCAATGGCTAATTTGTCAATATTTGCCGCATGGAATATTGCGATCTATAAAAATGAAATATTCCTTTCTATTAGACAATTAAGACCCTCTCAATTAAAAATGTTCCTTTCTTCTGAAAATGGACTCTCAATTTAAGGATGTTGTCTACAATAAAGGAGCATTTCTCTAATAGAGGTTTCTTTCTTTTCAAATATTTTCGTTTCATATCTGCAAGAATGGTCTATAAAGAAGAAAAAATCCATATAAAATGTACCTTTCTGTTTTAAAGGACTTCTTCTATAAGAAAAATATGTAAGAAAGGAGAATTTTTAGAATAAAATACATTTTGTAGAAAAAAATACACTTTTTATAGGATTGACTCCTTTTTATTAAAAAGGCCCCTCTCAATAAGAAAGAGTCTTTTTTTAAAAAGTAACCCCATAAATATGATATATTTTTTTCTCCAAGATAGGACCCTCTCTATAAGAAATGTTCCTTCCTTCTTTTTCAATAAAAAGGACTCTTAATTTAAGGACAATTTCGAAAATAAAGGAACATTTTTTTCCTATGACACCTTCCATATGAAAGGGTGATTTTAAGGACTCATCTAAATAACCTTCGTAAGGACAGCTGTTTTTGAAACGAATGTGAATCTAATGACAACTTTTGAATAACATTTCCTTAAAAAGAAGGTGCTTAAGGATCCTTCATTTACGAAAGGTGATGTCCTTAAGAACTTGTGCTTCTAACAACTTCTGCTATAGGAATACATGCTTCTAGGGGCACTCTCTATATAAAAAAACTGGTAAGAGAATGGTTTATTCTAAGGACACTTCATAATAACATTTTTATAAAAAAAAAGGTAATTTTATGGACTAATTTTAAAGCAAATGCTCTTCTAAGGAAAGACCTTAGGAACCCCTTATTTAAAGTAGAAACCTTTAAATAATAATATGTTTTTCTTTATGCCTTTTACCTTCCACTAAGAAGGGTATTTGAAAGGATCCTATCTATCATTAATACTTTTAAAGAAGGTCCTCAAAAATCATTTATATTTAAGAAAAAGGCGATTAAGATGTCCTATTAAGGACCTTTTCGACAAAAATACATTTATTCCAAAAAAAACTGAAAGCACAGCTATCCACTAGATATGGACATACGAACATTTTTATAAAACAAAACTGATGCACTTTCAAAGAAATGCCTCAGGAACCACTTATATAGAATAGAAGCCATTAATTAAGAAACTGTTTTTCTTAAAGCCATTTATATTAAGGACACTTTCCACAAACAACGGGAAATTTAAGGACCCCTGCTAAGAGTTTTTAACTATTTTCTTTTAAAGATAATGTCTATTTCAAAAAATTATTTTGGGAACCTGTTAAGATGTCCTCTTAAGGACCCTATCTAGTGAAATATTACATGGCCCTTTTTATACCCTACACCACAAGGTGGTCAGGGTATTATGTCTTTGTGCATTTGTTTGTAACAGGCAAAAGGAAACGAGGTAGACCCATAGTTCCTTTTGATGATCTGCATAGAATCACATTCTGAGTAGATTTATGCATGTCCGTCCGTCCGTTTGTCCGTCTGTCCATGTATTCTTGTGAACAAATTGCAAGTCGCATTTATTATCCGATTGAGATGAAATTTTCCAAACAACATTTGTTTGGCCCAAGGACGAACACTATTGAAATTGGAGATAATCGGTCAAAATTTAGATATAGCTCCCATATATATCTTCGTCCGATTTGCCTTTTATTGTGCACCAAACGTGTAATATCAGTCCAAATAGTATTAAATTTTGCACATACAACCAAATTGGGTCTGAAAATAAGTATGCCAAATTTGATCGAAATCGGTTCATATATAGCTATAGCTCCCATATATATTGTTCATCCGATTTGTTATTTTTGTCCTCCGCAGCCGTAATATGCACTCCGTAACAACAATATTTAGAGAAATATATCAAATACAGCTCAGAAATACAGTTGCTAAATTTTATCGAGATCGGTTCAGATTTGGATATAGCTCCAATATATAACTTCGTCCGATTTACCTTTGATTGTGCACCAAACGTCTAATATTTGCCCAAATGAGATGAAATTTGGCACTTACGACCAAATTGAGTATAGAATCTAGTATGTCAAATTTGGTGAAGATCGGTTCAGATATATCTATAGCTCCCATATATACTGTTCATCCGATTTCTTATATTTGTTACCCATAGCCGTAATATGCACTCCGTAACAACGATATTCTGGGAAATATATCAAATACAGCTCAGAAATATCTTTGCCAAATTTTATCGAGATCGGTTTCGATTTGGATATAGCTCCCATATATATTTTTATCCGAATTCAAATCAATTGTGCACCAAATGGGCAATACAAGTCCGAATTTAAAAGATACAAATGCTTCGGCATATTTAATCCTTTGAACTTTAAATTATAATTATAATCATAGCGTGTATGAATTCTCCCATAAAAACTTTTAATTGTTATGCGGAGCTCTTCTAAATTAGCAAAGTGGTGTAGGGTATCATAAAGTCGGCCCCGTCCGACTTTAACACTTTCTTTACTGGTTTTTAGAATATAATACTTTTAAAAAAATATCCTTCACATATAAAAAATAATTTTTTGTAGCCCTGTTCAGATGTCCTATTGGACCCTTTCCACAAGATATAAAGAAAATCCCCCACAACCTATATGTGGTAACACGCTTACAACAGTTTGAGAATCACTGACATTTGATTTTCAACAGAACAACATACAATGACACACGTGACCACTCGCATATTTAGAATAATGTCACTTACATGGCGACTTTCGTACCTTCATACGAACGAACAACAATGAATGACTTTGTGAGAAAAGCCACTCATATCCAGAATTCTCATATGCTCTCGGAACGTAATATCGGTTCCTGTATGTGTATGTGTGCAGGTATATGTGTGTTAAGTAATATGCAAAATATAATGAATACAGAACAAAAAAGCACTGCTCAAAAGAAAATTATAAAAATCAACAACTACTTGAAATTCTAATTCAATTCTCGGTTAAGCGTATTTCACAACAAAACACCATCAGATATTGAGCGAAGACACAAAAGCGGCTAAAGCGAAATCAATCACACTGTTCTGTTCAAAAAAAAAATCCAAAAAAGAATTAAAAAAAAATATTGTATTCAAAATAAAAATAAGCAAACTATTTGAAGTCGTTTTGAATTTGGTGTTAACTAGTGACGAGCTCTCTATCGCAATGTTCAAATTTGTAAGTTCCAAACGTCACGATACCGATAACCAGTTCGATGATCATATTAACGACGGCTATCACTTTTCAAAATCCAAATCAAAATTGTTACCAAAAAATTCAAATCCCACCACAATTATAATACCCACCACCACCATCACAACCACAACCAAATCCCCAAATGCAATAAATATTTTGGCCAAAAATTCCAATATCACCAACACCACCTCCACCATTGTCCAAACCAAAGAAACAATTACAGATTGTTGTTGCTGTTGTTGTCCTGATGTCAGGGGCTCATGCCAAGCCGGGAGATATTCAGGGAGCTGCCGAGACAGTAGATGTACCACCAGAACATCGTGCTGCCCCACCACCACAAGCTGCCCAACCTCGACCTCAATTTCCGGGCTACAGACCGGGTGCTGTTTATCCCGGCGCTGCTGGCGGTGTCAATCCTCTGTTTCCAACTCTATTCTTCCAGACACAAAACGCCTATGTACCCTACGCCAGCACCTTCAACGCCTATCGAGTGGATCATGCAGCGGCTCCAGCGGCTGTTGTCCAACAGCCACAGGATGTTCCAGCACCTACTTTAGTTCTAATCTAAACTCGTCCCTGCCGAAATGTTGTCAAGTGTAAAATTCAAAATTTTGTTTAATTATTTATTTTTGTTCGTTTTTTGTGCCTAAAAAAATGTTGTTATTGAATTGCAAAATATTTATACATCCGTGAGTGATTTTATTTTTGTAAACATTTTTCTTTCAAATAAATCGAAAATGTGTGTTCGGAATAAAAATATGGTTTTTGTGTGGGTATCGGTTTATTTATTTATTTATTTTTTATCGATTCGGAACATTATGATGCAAAAACATCACTCAAAATAATTTATTATTCTGGTGACATATCCAAGTGCTTTAATTTTGATGGTTGTCAATTTTCCGCATTCTTTGGGGGAGACAAATTTGGGAAGAGATTTTTTGACGATAATAATGTTGGAATTTGAGATATTTTGAAAATATTTTTGAGGAAATAGCTGAGCCAATACAATTTACACAATTTTATTATGAAATAAATTTATTTTTTAAAATTTTATTTTAAACCGCAAACGTATTTTTAAGAATTTTTTTTCAAGGACCAGAAACTAATGGATTTTCAAAGAACACTTTTAAAGGAGCAATAGTTTTTCGTTTTGAAAAAAATATTCAAGGGCCAACAAAGTCTCTAAATGTAAAAATATTTGTTCAGGGACCAAATGAGCCACATTTTAAAGGATCGTAGTGGATTTTTTAAAGAATATTTTGTTAAGGACCAACTTTTTTAAAAAATATTATTTTAAGAATATATATATTTTTTTCTTTTTTTAAAGCAAATTATTTCAGATACTATAAGAGTCATAAATAGTTTTTAATGGACGACCAGGGACAAAAACGTTGATTTTTAGAAAATATTTTTTAAAGGCTGTCTCTTTCAGGTAAACCAAAAGAACAAACCTCACTTCTTTAAATTATATATTTTAAGGACATTCAGAGCAATAAAATGTGTATTCTTTAAGAATACTTTTCAAGGGACCACCACGGCATCAATTGTGGATTTTTTAAGAATATTTTTTCAACGGACGCCAGGACCTCAAAAGTGGATTTTTTAAAGAATATTTTTTCAAGGACCGCCAGGATCGCAAACATGGATTTTTTTAGGAATATTTTTTTAGGGACCACCAGGGCCTCAAACGTGGTTTTTTAAAGAATATTATTTCAAGGGCCGCCAGTGCCTTAAGTGTGGTTCTTTTAATTTTTTTAAGGACCAGTGCCAGTTACTTACGCGTAAATTTTTCAAAGAATATATTTTTTCGAGAAACATCAGAGACTCAAACGTGGATTTATAAATGAATATTGTAATATATTTCGTGCAATCAAAGTGTTTTGGAATTTTTAAAAATAATTTTACAAGTAATAAATTTTTAAAAATTTAAAAATTTTTAAATGACTTTTTCCAGAACCCTCTGGCGCAATATTGATTTTTTTTCTTCTTTGAGGTTATTTTTTTAATCTTTTAAGGACACCCAAGGATATTTTTTATAGTATTGCAAAGACGGTCATTAAAAAATAATTTTCTGAAGGATGGCTTGAAAACAATCGCGAATTTTCTAAAATATTTTTTAAGGAGCACTAAAGACGCATTCTTCGACTTTTTAAAATAATGACTTCCTAGGACGGTATTGTGGATTTTCAAAAATAATATTTAAGGACCCCAAAGAGGCAATCTAGGATTTAGTGACCTTTTAAAATTATTATTTTTTTTTCAAAAATTAAAATATTTCCTAGTACTCTCAAAGATACTAAAATTTACCAGGACACCTAAACAAACGACCAACTGATTCAGTAGTCATTATTTTCCAGGACCAATCCAAGATTTTTTAAAATAAATTTTCAAAAGACAAAAGCCTGGATGTTTTAAAATAAATTTTTAAAGGATTCTGAAGATCTCATCCTTTTTTAATTGTTTTTTAGGCAGCCGAATAATACAGTTTTTTTTTAAATGCTCCAATCCTCCAAATACATAATCTTTTTTATCCATTTTTAAAATATTTCTAACATAAAATAAATTTCAAGGACGCTCATGGACGTTATCTCGCACTTTAATTAAATTTTACGAAGACTCAGTAGAGATTTTATTTGATTTTTTAAGGAGGTCCAAAAACGAAATCTAGTATTTTTTTAAAAAATTTTGTAAAGACCTCTATAGTCGAACATACAAAAATAATTTTATGGGTCACCAAAGACGTAATCGTGTATTTCTTAAAAAAAAATAAAGATTTTTAAAGTATACCAAAGAGGCAATATGTTAAACTATTTTTCAAGAATTCTAGGACTCAACCGTGTCTTTTTGTAAAAAGTTGTAAGGACCCGCGAAATCTGGAAATTTTAAAATATTTTTATAAGAATCCCCATAAACGAAATAATATTTTGCAATAAAGAAATAAACCACTAAAGACCCATTCGGGTAGTTAGAGTAATTTTAGAATAATTGTGTTCAAGAATTTCAAGAATATCGTCGTAGATTTAAGAAAAAAAATAAAGGACGCTCATGGTCCCAATCTTGGATTTTTAGGAACAAGAGAGAGTCAGCATCTTGGACTTTTAAAATTATTTTTGCAAGGACCACAAAATTCAATCAAGGGCTAACATATTATTTTTTTTTTTTTTTTTTTTTTGAAATTTTTTAAATACAATTAAATTTATATAATAAACGTATTCTTTAAAATCCATGGAATTTTAGAGCAGTAATGCTTGTCTTCCAAAACTACAATAATCGACTTTTTAATTGCTTAATAAAGGATGATCACGAGCTCAGTGATTTTTAAGGTTTATAATGGTTGGGCGTGTCGTAGTAGCCTTTGGATTTTCAATTTCTGGACTATTAAAACTATAATATTTAAATTTTTAAAAATGATTTTTACTTTTATAAAAGCAATAGTGATTTTTTAAGTTTTGTCCCTGGACGCTTACACCAATAATTACGTTGTTTTTTGCCTCTCCTCACTGATGTATTATATATGTATCCCTACAGTTTTTTACTATTATTAGACCATCATGATCCTGAACTGTGATCGCGAATTGATCGAAATAATATAAAATTTCCCCATAAAATGTGTATTAACATGCCATAAATAATTAATGATAACTCATCGATTAAATTTCAAATATTAAACTTTATATTCATTTATATTCGCAAGGGATGATTTCAGCACCATCATATCTCCCCATAACACCTATAATAAACACATAACTATATAATTTACTATAAAATTGAAAACAAATTGAACTACATCAGGAAGACATTTTCTCTTCATATAAATCACAATTTATATTTCATCTCCTGAATGTGATAGCTCCGCATTTTAAATATATAATAAATTGTATTCACATAGTCTGAGATTAGATTGCTCTTCCCAGTAAATTGATTATAAATCCGCTCACGTCTGCCGTGTTTGATACACTTTGTTGAGATTCCATGTAATAGGTATGTTTTATACGAATGGTTTTGAATTTTAAACAATTTCTTTCAAAGGCAGCTTTTGTGATATAATTAATGAAAGTGGATTGTATTACGGAGGTGTAATATGTAGAACACATTTAAGGGTGGGTGATCTTTGTGAAATTTGTACCTTTGATTGTCTATGGGTAACTCCATAAATAAAAAATATATATAATGCCCAACTTTTTTGCTCTAAAACTTCTCCTAGTTTCGACTTCGAAACGAGGTAGACTTGTTTTGAAAAAAAGTAATTACATCTAATTGTTATACCTCTTACAATGATGTAGCTCAACACTTGTGGAGATATGATATGATATAGATTTTATTCAGATCCGGTTTTGTATTCTCAAACAAAAAAATTAAATAAAAAAAATTATAATAATAATTAAGGAGAGATTAACACAAAATCGGAGTAACTCGTGTCAGCAGCTGCCAAAAATTTAACATAAAAAATCTAAAAATCTAGAAATATTTGTCAAAATATTTCTTCGAGAACCCCCAAAATTCAATTATAGATTTTTACAGTTTTAAGGTCCTAGAAAGAGACAATCTAGAAGTTTTTACAATAATTTTTTTATGGACTCCTAAATACTCAATTGTGTTTTTTTAAAGGAATTTTTCAAGATGCAAAGACCCCCTTGGACGCAATCGTATATATATAATTAAGGTCCCATAGGATTTAATTGTGGTTTTTCAGATGGTAAAAGCGTAACATCAAAAATACTTTTGCTAATACTAGCAGTGTCACAATCGAGGACTTTTCAGGAAATATTTCAGACTGCAGAAGAATTACAATCGCCGAAGATCTACGAATGATAAAAAGGAAGTCCTTGGAAAATATTTTTAAGTATCATCTAATATTGATCAGAATGTTGTAGAATTTTTTCCCCAGGAATTCCATAAAACATTTCATTTTTATTTATATATTTATTTTAACAAGAAACGAATATTTAACAAGAAGTCCTTAAAAATCCACGAATACTGGCCAGGAAGTCTATAAATGCTAACCAAGAAATGAAAATATTTAAAAATATTTACGATTATTGGCCAGGAAAGCCAAAGAATGTGGCCCAGGGTATCATTGAAAGATTTTTGTTCGGAAAGTCCTTTAAAAATATTTCTTAAATATCCACAAACATTGGTTAGAAAGTCATTGAAAAATAGTTTTCAAAATCAACGGACATTGGTCAGAAAGTTTTTGAAAAATTTTTTTCAAAATATACGGACATTTGCCAAAAAGTCCCTGATAAGTTTTGTTTGATTTTTTTTTTAAATCCACAAGCATTGGTCAGGAAGTCCTTGAAAAATACTTTAAAAAAACCACGAACATTGGCCAAGAATTCATTAAAAAATGTTGCCCTGAAGCCCTTAAAAATTTTTGTAAAAATCCAGGAATCCTTAAAAAATATTTTAAAAACTCCACGGTTCTTTGGGAAATATTTAAAAAAATCCACGGATGGTTGAATAATATTTAAAAAAAAAAAAACACGGATTGTCAGAAAATATTTTAAACAATCCACGAATCCTTGAAAATTAGATTTAAAAATCCAAGAATCATTGAAAAATAGATTTAAAAATCCAAGAATCATTGAAAAAATTTTTAAATAATCCACGAATCCTTGAAAAATATTTAAAAAAAACCACGGATTGTTAGAAAATATTTCAAACAATCCACGAATCCTTGAAAATTAAATTTAAAAATCCAAGAATCATTGAAAAATATTTTAAAAAATCCACGAATCCTTGAAAAATATTTTTAAACATCCACGAATAATTGAAAATAATTTAAAAAAGTCAAAGAAACCCTAAAGAAAATTTAGAACAAAATCACCAACAAAATTTAAAAATCCACCGTAATCGAATAATATTTTTAAAACTCTAAGATTTTTGTCAAGAAAGTCCTTGAAGATATTGTAAGAAACGTAAATATTAAGCATTTAAAAAAAGCATGAATATTGGGAAGAAGTTACATAAAAAATATTTCCGAAAGTCCTATATTCTTGGCCAGAAAATCCTTGAAATAATTTGAAAAATGCTCAAATGGTGAAAAACATTAAAAAAATATTTAAAAAAAATCCAAGACCAGAAACTCCGTAAAAATTAAACAAAATCGTTGTAAAGCATTAAAAAATTAATAAATTACAAAACTTGGGCTGATATATAGAATGGAAACTCTCAATGTAATGTTGGTGGTAGTAAGGCCAGGGAATTTCCACAGCCTTATAAGACTTTTAAGCATTTTTTAAATTTTCAAAATGTAATTTTTTTTTTAATTAAAGAAAATTTTGATATGTACATTTTTCTAATTGTTTTTGTTTTATTTGTATTCATTTAAGTTGTGGATGATAAAAAAAATCTATTCTTAAACTAAGTTGAAATACAGCAATTTTCATTCAAAAACAAATTTCAAATTGCCCAATTCTAACAACAAAAAAAGAAAATATTAAAAGCAGGATGGTAAGTAATCACATAATGTCCGTTTCAATTTGGGTCCAGCCAAAGAAGTTCTAATTCAACTTAGAATACTGTGGTGTAAGCTGCGGGAGCATAGCCAGCGGTATAGGCAGCGGCATAGGGAGCGGCGTAGGCAGCGGCATAGGGAGCAGCATAGGCAGCGGTGTAGGGAGCAGCATAGGCAGCGGTGGCAACTGGAGCGGTGTAGGCGGCAGCAACGGGAGCGGTGTAGGCGGCAGCAACGGGAGCGGTGTAGGCAGCAGCGGCAACGGGGGCGGTGTAGGCAGCAGCTACAACAGGAGCGGCAGCAATACCATTATAGTTGCGGGCAATGTACTGGGAGCTGGTGGCAGTTACAACACCGGTGGGCACGGCAGCAGCAACCACAGCAGGTTTGGCATAGGCAGAGCATACCAAGGCGAAAAGAGCAATGAAAACGGACTGTAAAAAGAGCAGAAGGATAAGGTATTTAGTTAGTTACTGTAATCAACATATTTAAAATTTTTTAAATTTTTTTAAAATTAAATTTAGGATTTCAATATTACCAATTTGAACATTTTGAAATTTGTTTTTTGATGTTTTGATGAAGTCAACTTCTGTTTAACTATATTCAATACCCGAACAAGCTTAGGTTTATATAGTACCTCTCTTCTTCACCTCAACACAATTGCATAAAGAATATAACCTGGCTGCTACCAATATTAATTCGTTTTTGTTTTTTATTGAAGATGTCCGCCAAAAAATTTTAATTTCATTTTCAATTTATTATTTTTTTATGTAGATCCCAAAACACTTTTGCTGGCTGCCAGATATGAGTTTTTTCCTCACACCTCCCATTCCCCTTGGCTCTACACACCACAACCACAACTACAGCCAGTAAATGTTCTATAAACCCTATTTGTGGTGTTGTTTCAGCCATTTGACAAAAATGGCTTTGAAACACTACGTTTATCTACTGCCAAGTAGTTGCGGCGAGACAATGCAGCAGTTTTTTGGTCAAAAACGTAAAAATCTACATTCGCAAAAATTCTGCTACCAAAAGTGTAGCATTCGCCACAGACAAAAGGTAGGCGGAACGAAAGATAGACAGACAAACAGACCGACTGGCTAAAGTATAAATGAATTTTAGCATTTGTTTTTTTTTATTTTTTTATTTTGTTTAAGAAGGTTTTGAACATAGTTGAAATGCAGCCCACGTACACAACCGCCTAGTAGGTGGGGGCGAAGGCAATGCTATCCAACGGCCGACTAAGCACATGTCTACCGCCCCACAAACAAATTATTGATTTATTATTTGTTGTATGTTCATTTGATGGCGGATTAGATTTAGTGTTTACAAATAGATTTTCGTGTTACAAATTGCGTTAACACTTGGCCGAATGGAGATACAAGTTTGGAACATTGTTGCAAATTTCAACAATGGCAGGATATGTTGGGATTTTTGGAATTCATTGGAAGTTCTGGTGTGGGAAAGATATGTAATTGGCTGATAAAGTTTATCCGCTTCTTAATTAAAAAAAAAAAAAAAAAATATATATATATATATATATATATATATATATATATATATATATATATATATATATATATATATATATATATATATATATATATAATACAAAAATATAAAAAAACAAGTAAGCCAAAGCTATAGTCGTGCGGGGCCGACTATGTGATACCCTGCAACACTACAATATATTTTACGCCTCCTTATGTCCAAATCCGTTTTAGAAGATTTCGCTTTTGAAATTATGTCACGGATCCCTGCCCAGATATTAACCTTAGCATATTGACCAGGGATATTTGCCCAATATTTACGCACTCCGTCATGCTGTTAGTTGTTGTGGTCCATTATTATAATCCAATGTTTATCCAAAATGCTAGAATTCTTCCCTGTCCCTAACTCTCTTCTCAGGCGTGTCGATTGGCTTCTGATGAGGTAATCGTTTCTGTTTTGGTTCATTTGAACCCCTAAATATTTTTCGATAATTTCCAAAAGCAAGAGGCCCCTCTGTATCTCTAAATTTAGCCTCATCTATATGATTCTCTACTATGTTTACTATACTATGTTTGGCCATATTCGTCAAGGAAATCAGCATAGGAAGCCAGAAGTTCGTCTTTTGTGTATTTTGAATATCACCTGTAAAAAATGCTTGTATTTTTCCACACAAAAGTGGTGGTCCATTCTACCCGCTGTCCTAACCTCTAACTTCGTGCGAAATTTCGTATCCTTTGGTTTCTATTTGTGACCTTTAAACAGCTGCAAAACCAGGAACATTCTTAGTTGTTGGTCCATTTCTACCCCTAAATATATTGCGGACATCTTTGAAAACAATAGGCCTAGCCCTTCCGAGCCTAACCCTACCCTTGTGAAAAATTTCGTGTGGATCGGACGATAATTGCAAATTGTATAGAATAACTCCAACCTGTGATGTAAGGTGAAAAAATATTACAAAATGTACTCCTCAATATTATAAGTCAAAATGAAAAAATCGCATGCGACAAAAATTATGAAAAAAATAAAATAATGTCACAAAATACTACAAAATCTATATTAACATCATTATTGACATATTTTTATGCGATTTTTTAGATTTTATACTTTTATGCCAAGAGGGCATTTTAAATTGACAAAATTTGTCAAAATCGGTCCAGCCATTCATGAGCTATAGGCATTCTAGCTAACATCCTCTTCCTTTGTATATAAACATTGTATATTTTTCGCTATATATATATATATATATATATATATATATATATATATATATATATATATATATATCCGATATATTTACTATCGGTATTTACGTAACGGTCAGAATTGACCTCTTCGTCTATTTGTGATATTGCCAGAATTAAAAATAATCGCGGTTTAATGGAAAATTTGACTTTTATTGGAAGGCTTCTGCCCAGCCTCAAGTTCTATCGCCATGCTAACTTCCGTGTTGATTGGTCTATAATTGTGACCTGTAGAGCAACTGCAAATCAGGAAATTTTTTAGTTTTTGGTCCATTTCAACTCCTAAATTTTTGCGATCATCTCCAAAAGAAATAGGGTTCTATTCTGGTCTTAACCCCACCTCCATTTTCAATTTCGTGAGGATCGGGCCATAATTGCGACCTGTAAAGTGATTACAAATTAACATGGACAGACGGACAGACGGACGGATATACATAGCTAGATCGACTCAGTTCGGCGAGATAGGAAGATCCATATATACTTTCCTATGTGGGAAACCAATATTTCGTGGTGTTACATAATTCTTGGCCTAATCAAACTTATAATACCCCAACACATAGTGTTGTAGGGTATAACTAGCAAGTGTCCGCTATCTTCACACGTCCCAACAGTTCGTTTTAGGCTTTTTATACCCTACAACACTATGTGTTGGGGGTATTATAAGTTTGATTGGGCCAAAAATTATGTAACACCACGAAATATTGATTTCCCACATAGGAAAGTATATATGGATCTTCCTAGCTCGCCGAGCTGAGTCGATCTAGCTATGTATGTCCGTCCGTCCGTCTGTCCGTCTGTCCGTCTGTCCATGTTAATTTGTAATCACTCTACAGGTCGCAATTATGTCCCGATCTTCACGAAATTTGGAATGGAGGTCGGGGTTGGGCCAGAATAGAACCCTATTTCTTTTCGAGATGATCGCCAAATGTTTAGGGGTTGAAATGGACCAAATACTGAAAAAATGTCGGATTTTGCAGTAGCTATACAGGTCGCAATTATAGACCAATCTACGCGGAATTTCGCATGTAGCTAGAGTTTAGGACGGGGAAGAAGCCTACCAATTTGGGTGGTCATCGGATAATATTTAGCGGGTAAAATAGACCATATATTTTGTGCTGAAAAAATTCAACATTTTTCATTAAACCGCGAATATTTTAAATCCCGGCGAAATCACAAAGCCATGACAAGGTTACTTCTGACCTTTACATTGATGTTAACATCCAACAAATCGGATATATAGCAAAATATGTGCGATATATATATTTATCAAAGAAGATATGCTTGAAAGATCTCTTATATGTCGAGAACGGCTGAACTGATTTCGACAGTTCTCTTTAATTCAGAATGGCCTCTTGGCAGGAAAGAAAAAACGTCTAAAAAAATCGCATAAAAATATCTCTCTAAAGATGAAAATATTGATTTTGTAAAATTTTCTCATATTTTTTCAATTTTGTCATATTTTTGGCATATTTTCATTTTGAATTAAACATTTGGTAATATTTCTACAGCTAACAAAACTAAGTAGTTAGGATATCAGTATATCATATACAGATCGCATTTATGGCCCGAACTTTACGAAATTTTGCATGGGGATAAGATGAGGGTCAGAATAGAAGCCTACTCTTTTTGGAGATGATCGCCATATATTTAGGGGTTGAAATGGACCAAAAAACTGCAAAATTGTCGGCAGGTCGTAATTATCGCCCAATCCTCACGCACATTTGAATGGGGGTTACCGGACATTGCAAAAGCCAAGCAGTTTTGGATGGCCATCCAAAAATATTCAATGTGTGAAGGAGTTTGCCAACTTTTGTAGACAAAATACGAAAATGTCCATTCCAGTGACTTTTTGAAGAATTCAAAAATACAGGAAAGACGCACTTCTGACTATTTCGTTAACGAATATAGTCAAATGGCTGTATCTCATATAGATGCGTTTCAGTCAAAAACCAATAACATATGTTAATCTTTTGCCACTTCTAAGAAATTATAGGTCTTTGGGAAATATTGGTTCCAGATCTAGGAAGACCATGTACGTGCAACATCTACCAATAAATTGGAAATGAGCAAATTAGCTTAAGTTGTTATTATTCGAAAATTATAGAACGAAACCTGATGGTTTTCTTTTATTATTTGTCACAATATCTTGAGGAATTCATTCGAGTATCTCGCCTATATAAACTGTATCACTTATTACAGTGTTGTAGGGTATTCAACGGTCGGCCCCGCTCGACTGTAGCCTTTGCTTACTTGTTAATACTCAAAATGTGTTTTTTTCGGTTTGACATTTTTTTTTTTTTTTTTTTTTTTTTTTGTCAAAATGTTCAATTTTCAGATTTGCAAGGTATTATAAATTATTTAATTTTTAGCTTGTACGCTAAGAGAACTAGGATCATGTTTACCTTTTGCACCTCAAAGTCTTCAAAATCTTTCATACTGAAGTTTACCCAGGAGGATATTACAAAATTATTGCACAACCCACATCCAATGCAAAATTTAGTTCAATTTAGTACTTTTCAAACAACGATTGTACGCCATTAAAACCCACTTCCAAAATTGCAACTTCAGATACCAAATATGACCTTAATATCAAATTTCCGGATTTCAGGTCAATAATTTCATCCATTACCAAATTTCGTACCATTCAGTACATTTACAGTACGCATGTCCAAAACCAACTCGTACTCTCAACCACATACAACTAGAGTGACCACTATTTCTATTCCTTCACTCAATATAGAACGCATTTTTATACAATTACAAGAACATTATAGTTGCGGGACAAGAACAGAGACTTCAATGTCATTTTCGGAATTCCAGCTCTTTCCCTTTACCCGATACCAAATGTAGTACCATTTGGTAATTTTCGTACAACTATAGTACACATATCGAAAACCACTACCATATCTCAATTCCACGTACCAACGAAGACCTCAATATAATATTTCGAAATTCCA